AAGTAATGGTTGGAAAGAAAAAAAAAAACCTTCTTCCTTTGGCTCATTACTGGAGATGTCTGAGTTTCTCAGCCTGCGTGGCTGAGGAGAAAGAGGACAGACCCAAAGGGACCAATTATCAGGTTGGACTGAGGTGGCCTGCTAGCCAGGATTGACCATGTGTTTCCCCTTCCCAGCTCACCCCTGAGCTATGCTGGGGCCTCAGGGGAACCCCACCCTGAACCACACACATGAGCCCTCACGAAGACCCAGTCCCCATTGCCTGACCTGCAAATCCATCACGTAGCTAAGCAGGACTTCATCATGCTTTCTGATGCAGGCTGACTTCTGGGTGTGAGGCACAATCCGCCTCGGGTTAAGGAGCTTCCATATGGTTGGCTGGGTGTACCATAAAACACCCTGTGACTTTGCAAGGGCACCAAGAGTGTAGGACAGGGCTATGCCCAGACCTCGGATCTGGAACACTTTCTTGGTGGTCCTCTCTCACTGTCCCAGAGTTGGGGCACTGACGTGGCTGTGTTGGACTTGGGGACATGTGGAGCATGACTGGAAAGCAACTACTAACCAGCAGCCAGGCACAGAAAAAGTGAGGAGCCCGTTGGGGGAAGGGTGACGTGGTGTGAGGCAGCTGCTTCCTAGGATTCCTGAGCTGCGCAGGTGGTGCTGCTGTCCAGACGTGCAGTGTCCTCTTCTCCTGGCTCTCTGAGGAGTGCAACAGAGGTCCTGTTCAGGCCCTACACCCCTTTAGTTGCAGCCCCGCCAGAGGGAATAAAATGTGTCTGGGTTGCCTGTGCCTGCCTTGCAGAGGACAGCAGCCCCATGCACCATGAACAGTCGTGACTACCTTGGGTTTCTGGCATGAGCATGCTGGAAACAGGCATGGGGAGCAGGGGTGGTTCAGTGGTTGGCATGGGCATGCAGACTCCCTTTCCTCCAGGGGCTTTCCTATAGAAATGTGCCCTTGAACTTTCTGCTGTGGGAGAAGGCTTCCTGGTGAGGCTATTCCACCCTGTTAGTGATGAGCTTGCCTCCCCGACCCTACCCTGTGCCTTCACACAGGCACAAACAAGCAGCCCTCCTACCTACTGGACTCTGGCATTGGCTCCCCTCCCTTTCCCCATCCCTGCCTTCTGGCTTACCTCTTGACCTCCAGCCTGGCTCCACCAAAGCCTGCCTTGGGAAGCCTGAGCTCACCCCCTGCTGCCAGCCATCCCAAATGGGCAGTGCAGGGATACTGCTCTGGTCCAAAATATCCGGAGTCCATCTCCAACTCAAGTGGTTTCAGCGAGTCTATCTGGCCCAGGAGTGCTGGGGCCAGGGCCACGCTCTGCCCCCTGGTCCTCCTCCTGCTGCCACATGTCAGTCCCCTCCTTTGCCACCACCTACACTACCGCCATGACGTCATCCTCCACGAACACCACCTCCCTCCACAAGGCAGCCCCACCACCCCAGCTCTGTGCATTAGTCACCCTATCCTACCGCCAGGCTGAACACAATGCCCGCCTCTGGCCTCCCACAGACACATGTCCCTGCTGCTCAATATACGCCTGGGAAACCCTACAGTGTGGGGACCAGTCCTTGAGAAACCCATGGGCCTCGCCCTGCTGAAAATCCATCGCTAAAGCTGCGTGGACCCAGGGCTCCTGGGATGCCCCACCGGGCTGTAGTCCCACGCGTGCACCTTGGAGCCCTGGGCCCCAGCGGGATAAGCTATGCCCAGCAGCCCAGAATACACAGGGCGAGGCCCTGGACTTGGGAAGCCCTGACGGCAGCGGTGCATGCTGCTGTTGCCAGTTGGCGGGAACCTCTGGGTCGGCAATGCAGTATCTCGCATGCGCACAGCGTGTACACAGTCCACCCATGGGTGACCCTGGCATCTGGCCTCTGGTGTGCTTAGGACCCAGCACGAGAGGAATGCTCCTGGGAGTCCAGCATCCTTAGGGAGGAAGCATGGCACTCGCGGTCTGTATTCACCTGGACCTGCCAAGAGTGCAAACTCCACCCCAGCAAGGTTCCAGGTGGCTTTCCTCCCACACGCCTGCCCAGCTCCACTTCCCCCAAGCCTCCTCCGCTGCCGCCAGTGCCCCAGCAGCCAGTGCTGGTCCCTCTCCCAAAAGGAATACCAAAGACAGATGCAAGCACCCTGAGTGCCCGGTGACCCAGAGGCTGTTTGTCTGATTGAGAAGCACCTGTAATTTCTGTTTCTCTGGTCAGGTTGGTCTCTCGGCAAGAATACAAATGCAGCGAGGTGTTCGGATGCTGTCAACGAAACGGGCTGGGGTTTTCAGTGTGTGGGTGTTGAATTATGGGAGGACACAGTAGAGAGGGGGTCGTCCTTAGTGCTCGTGAGAAACTGAGGTTTGTTAAACTCATTGATGTTTCTTGAGGATTCTTCCTGTTACTGTTGGACATGTCCACTGTGGGGGCAGCTTTTGGGAGATGGACCTGGGGCGCCATTGTTTTCCTGTGCACTTTTTATTGAAACAGTTTTTCTCTGTGAATGTGGCCCTGACTCACACACACAGGCAGTGTACTTATGCACTGTGAGCAGAAAAACAATAAAACCTTGTACTTTTAGTTAGCACATTTCAAATTTCTGATTTTCTTCACAGGACTTAGCAAAGTTTGACATAAATTGCGTTACTTTCCTGTATGTGGAAGTCTGGAACCATGAATAATCAGTTTAAATTTGCCTCTTTTAAACCTGTAATTGTCTCCCTCCTTCTATGACAGTATTTGAAAGATGTTTCATGTAACTCTGGTACCGTAAATAATTTAAATGGAAGAAGTGTTGGTAATGGAGATAAATGGCAGTAGATAGCCGAAAACGGAAGCAAATAGATGCCCTTAAGGTTTTGTATTAACCCGGCAAACTGACATACTCCTGTAATCCCAATATTTTCGGAAGTGAAGGTGTAAGATTGACTTGAGGTCACGAGTTGGAAACCAGCCCGAGTAACGTAATGGGGGTCCTATAATCTGTTGCCATTCTGGCACCAGGGACCGGTTTAGAGGAAGGCAGCTTTTCCACAGACAAGAAGTTGGTAAGGGGAAGAAGGTGGAGAGTGGACATGATGCCGAGCGGAGAGGCGGCAGCTTACCAAGTGGCATGGGTTAGGGCGGGGGTCCTGCTTGGAACAGCGTGATGGGGCAGTTTGGGCGGCAGCGGGACTAAGTGGAGCGCAGTGTGGGGCAGCAGGGTGACAGGGAGGATGGTGTCATGCAGCTGAGGCACCTCACGTCATTCTAAGACATTACATTCTCATAAGGAGATTGCCACTGAGATTTCTCACATACATAGGCCAGAGTACTGAATCTTTATGCTGATGTATTATACACTTAACTGTCCCAAAAGGATGACTTTTAAAGCATTCCTATCCATATTAAATTAAGTGTGATAGGCTTAGCATAGTGGATATCTGATATGCTGTGCATGGTCGCTTATGGCTGTATTAATAGCACTTTGGGAGGCAAATGAGGGTGGATCCTGATTTGAAGACCAGCTTGGCCAAGAGAGTGAAATGCTGTCTGTACAAAAATTACAAAATATTAGCCAGCCGTGCTTGCAGATGCCTGAAATCCCACTTACTAAAGATGCTGAGGAAGAAAAATAGATTGAATCCAAAAGGTAGAGGTTGCAATGAACTAAGTTCAAGCCACTGCACCCAAGCATAGATGACAAAGTCTCCATCACAAAATAAATACATACAGAAATAAACAAAATAAAAATAACTTCACAAAACCCCAGCCCTTCCCCATCATACCTCTTTGTGAAAACATATGGCTAAACACTTACTTACAACCATTGTCAAATATTTGAAGAAAAAATTAATGTTATTTCCTGAAAGAAATGTATTTTCCACTATTTAGGAACAATTAATTTCATTAAGCTATGTAGTTTGGCAACTTAGCTGGTTCACTTTTGATTAAGGTGGAAAATATTTTTTCATAACCATTGTCCCCTTTAGTCGCAGAATGCTACAAGAAAGTTCTGGGTACCTTCAACTTGAGCAACAAACACATTGAATCATTTCCTTTGCCCTTTAATATACCTTTAAGGACAAATCTTTTAGTTTTAGTTCAGTAGTCAACCTGAAAATTGACTTTGTGATCTGTCCAATGTGTTGGGATAACAGGAGTGAGCCACCTCCCCTGGCCAAAACTTTCTTTTAATAGTGTGGTATTTAATAAAGTATTTATTCAGCATTTGAGACCCTATTGGTGAATGAGCAGACTATCCAATACTCATTGACCCTC